AAGTAGGTGCCTTAGACCACTGAGCCATCTCTCCAGCCCCAGTTTCCAACATTTTAAAAAAGTTTTTTTATATTGTCCGGATTTTTTTGAAACTGTAGTAAATTTATTCAGTTGTAAGACATTATATCATTCACCTAATAATAATTTTTTTTCTTTTCACTTATGGTGTCAGAGATTGAACCTAGAACTTGTGCTAGGCAAATGCTGTACCACTTAGCTATAGTCCCAGGCCTTTAAATTTTTTTTTTTTTAATTTTAATTTTGAGAGCATTAGGTTGCCCAAGCTGTCCTTACTTTGGGATTCTCCTGCCTCAGCTTCCCAAGTAGTGGGATTATAGATTTACACCAGTATGTATTGCTTTGTATCTAGGCTTCCTTGATTCGAGATTTTTTTTTTTAATATACTGGGGATTGAACTCGGGACATTGCACTTGCTAGGCAGGCACTTATGCCACTGAGCTATATCCCGGGCCCCAGTTTCTATGCTCTTTGGAAAAGAAAGGGAGAGGCAGTGGTGAGGATTAGAGTTCCCATGAACCTCTGAATCTTCTCATTCTGTGCAGTGACCACTTGTGGGCAGTAGTAGCTGAACAAAATGATAAAAATTCCTTGGAAACCACTGTTGCACGCACGCGCGTGTGTACATGTGTGTATGTGTGTGTGTTTTGAGTGTTGAGATAGGGTCTCACTGTGTAATTGAGTCTGGCCTTGAATTCACCATGGAGCCCAGGCTGGCCTTGAGCTTGTGATGATCCTCCTGCCTCAGCCTCTGGAGTGCTAGAATAACAGTAATTTCCTTCTTTAAATCTGAGGAGATCTACGTGTAGAGTGTGTGCCAAGATTGCAGCAATTGCTTGAGAAATTAATTCCTCTTGGACGGTTGGTTGATTGGAGGCAGAGAACTTGGGCAGATTGTCACAAAGTAATTTTAGGTTGCATGAAGCAAAAGCTAAGGTTTTTGTTTGTTTCTTTAAGTTAAGGTGTCATAGAAAGCCCATACCCTCAGTCCCTAGGTCTTCCCAGCCTAGTCTGCTTGAGAAATTCATCCTTCCCACTCTGCTTCTCACCCAGACTGCATTTGTGGTGAAAGAATCCCACAGGTGGGATAGTGGAGGACAGGGACCCAGGGCTTTGCTTTCTGCTCTTGATCCCTTCCTTGGGTCTGCATTTGCTGGTGCTGGGCATGGAACCCAGAGCCTTGTGCTTGCAAGGCAAGCACTCTATTCCTACTCCTACACTATGTCCCCAGACTGGCCTTGCCTTATTTTTTATTTTATTTATTTACTTGCAGTATCGGGAATTGAACTCACAGCCTTACACTTGCCAGGCAGGTACTTAAGCCACAGAGCTGTCTTTCTGGCCCTTGGCCTTGCTTTATTTTATTTACTTATTTAGGCAGAACCAGGGATTGAACTCAGGCCCTTACACTTGCCAGGCAAGCGCTTATTCTCCTGAGCTATCTCCCTGGCTCCCTATTTTTTGTTTTTGGTGCTGAGAACTGAATCCAGGGCTTCCAGCTTGTTAGGCAAGCATTCTACCACTGAGCCAAATCCCCAGTCCCAGCCTTGCTTTATTTATAATTTACTTCTCACCCACTACCTGATTTCTTCTGAATCTGTGATCCAGGTCTATACTCAAATCCTTCACAAGTAATTTAGCAGATTTCGAGCTTTTGATTGATGTGCAGAGATCAGGACCAGGCAGAGGCCCTCGCCTAACCTGCCTTCCGACCTGCTGTCTCCTGGGCCCTGCTGTCTCCTGACTTGGCCATGGGGATCCTGGTAGCCCCAGCACACTCATTCCTTTAACCCTACAGCTCCTTTTTTAAAAAAAATAATTTTATTGAGAAACAAATAGCAATGAGACAGTTTCAAAACCAATTAAATATTTATTTATTTTTATTTATTACATTTATTTATTGTGTGTGTGTGTGTGTGTGTGGCCAGCTCAGCCCACCAGGGGGCGGGACTGGCTGGCATGTGGTGCTGGAGGATTGAACCGTGGTCCCTGTGCTTTGCCAAGCTTGTTTCAAGTAGGTGCTTTAGACCACTGAGCCATCTCTCCAGCCCTCAAAACCAATTAATAGGACATTTTCAATAATTAATACATTGCATATTGTTGTCTTCTTAGTGGTTATTCATAGTACAAGATGCAGATGTGATATCCTGTCCAAACACTATGAGTGCAAATCTTTCTTGTCATTGGAGAAAGTAGCTGTATCTCTATCCTAACTATATTGTATATACTGATACAAAAGTGTCCTTCATTTATATCCCTTTTTTTGTTTAGTTTTATCAGAGATAGGTATTCTGTTGCCATTTAAATATTGTAGGTGTGTGAATTCAACAGAATAATCCAATCTAGTCCAGTAGTCCATAATAATAGTGGGTTATCTGCAGGACTGGCAACATCAGAAGTTATTGACTTGAGCCTTTTATAGCTCAGCATAACCCTACAGCTCCGGTCTGAGGTCACTTCTGTCAAGGCAGAGAAAGTCCCACTGAGCGAGGCCCCTGGCCTAAGTCGTTTCATGGTCCTCTTCCTCCTGGCCCACAGGCTTCTCGTCGCTCCTGGGGGACCTGCCGCCCTCCAACAACTACTACATGTACCAGCAGCCTCCACAGCCTCCACCCCCTGCCCAGCAGGCGCAGCCACCTCCACAGCAGCAGCAGGGGCAGGCCCAGGGCCCCTCAAGTGTAGGGGGTGCCCCACCCCTGCATACCCCAAGCCCGGACAGCTGTACCCCACCAGGGGCTAAGCCAGGGGGCGCTGAAGGCTACGGGCCGCCTCCCGTGATGGCCTTGCACGCAGCGCCGCAGCTGCAGCACAGTGCCTACCATACCCATCAGCACCACCCACACTCGCACCCTGCCCCACAGTCCCAACAGCAGCCGCAGGCGCAGGGCCAGGCGCCCATCAACAGTCCAGGCTTTGGTGAGTGCTGGGCCCCATGGCAGAAGCCCAGAGGGGGAATAGCCTTGTTCTCTGCACTGAAGCACAGTGGACTGGAAAGTTCTCGGCCGGTTGGTGGGTCTTCCAGCCTCCTGCCTGGGAGCCAGTCCTGGGAGCACATCTCAGCTGGTAGAAGTGCTCCCTACAGCTGTGTATTATGGGGGGTTTGGGAATGGAGTATATCTATGCCCCCCCCATACACACGGATGAATTTGCATTGTTTAGCATGTCTCCTCTGAGCTGGGCCATACCTAAGCATAGCTAGTAAGAGTCTTAAATCCCAGGAGAGAGTGTGAAGCTGCCTTAGCTGACAGCCTGTGTGCATGCAAGGCCCGTGCACTCAGTCCCATTGCCTGACGCCTCACCTCAGGCCTGGCTTCCCTCACAGCATTTCCTCCTGACTGGTGCTCCAACATCGATTCCTTAAAGGAGAGCTTCAAAATGGTGAATCGGCTCAACTGGTCCAGCATCGAGCAGTCACAGTTCTCAGGTGAGAGCCGAGAGGGTGGTGCCCAGAGGGACACACAGTGAGGGACACAGGCCCAGCCGGAAAACCCAGCAGAAGTAGGCCTGGGTGGTGGAGCTTGGAAGTGGAGGATGTCATCCTTTCTCCTCCACATTATACTAGATGAGTCGTATCATTCATGGTTTTCCAATTAATTCAGGGTAATTTTGCCTTAACTTATGGTGTGGTGATGGTTTATTCTTGTCGGTTTTGTCTTGGGAGAGGAAAGGCTCCTGGGAACTCAGAGACCCTGGACCCCTGCTGTGTAGTGCAGTCTCTGCCTGCTGGCCAGTGACTCACAGAGCCAGTCACTTTGAGAGATGTTTCATTCATCGGTAAGATGGAAATTATAGTAAGAATCAGCTAAGGAACAAACAGAATGGGAATTTGAACCCGTGGAGCCCGACAGATGCAGATTTGTGCGTAACACAGGTTACCTGACATGTGGACTTCAGCTGTGGGTGGGGCCAAGACAGGGATGGTCCTGTGAGCTCCGCCCTGCCCCCTCCCTGTTGTAGAGCTGATGGAGAGTCTACGGCAGGCAGAGCAGAAGAACTGGACCCTTGACCAGCATCACATTGCCAATCTGTGTGACTCCCTCAACCACTTCCTCACTCAGACGGGTCATATCCCCCCCCAGGGGGGCTCCCACCGATCGGCGGCTCCTGCCCGCATCGCTGATTCATGTGCCCTCACCAGTGGCAAACAGGAGCCAGCCATGAACCAAGGTACTGCACCAGCGGGGTGGCGCCAAGGTGGGGGTGAGGTAGAAAGGAGGGGTGGGAAGAGCAGAAGATCTGAGAGAAGTCATTTTATGTACAGCTGCCCAAACAACTGTGGGGCT